CATTTTAAAACTTTTCAACGTTTTACGAGTGCCTGGTACTTACAAGCACGAGGAAAATGTAAAGGTGGACAAAAATAAGAGTATTATTTTTGTACGATTCTTTCAGCCGATTAAATTTCTTTTAATTATATGGACGATGCATCATTTTGAAAATCTCGACATCCTCTTTCACGTTCTGTGCTACTTTTCGTTTATTATTGCGCTACGTTTCTATTTACAGAATGAAAGGTCAGCTTTTGAACGCTCGATGCACTCGTTCCTATTAAAGTATTTCGATTCGTACGGGTTTAGTTCTTCCTTGTGTCCACGCGACTGTAACGTTACCTCGTTTCCGTTTAGAGATTGCAACACTGATAACTTTGAACCAAAACGACAGTTTTAATTCGCTAATCGTGCATAGCCGTCGACGAGTCTTGTTTAGGCGTAACAGTTCGCAAATAAAGAGGCCCTAATTACATAACTGAAACAGGAAATTGCATGTTACTCCAACAGGATTGATTTTAGGATAGGGAATGTACTCCAATATTTACAGTCAATAATTGCGATGAACAGAATATGCAAATTATACCGGAACGTTCGAAATATTGTAACGGTTCTATCGAGATGCAACTATTAAGTGTGCATCGGCAAAATCTGCAGAACATCTGGTTAACGATGCAACAACGCCAAAAATAGAACGATTCTTCTTATTCAAATATATGTGCGTACCTCGCCCTTGAAACTATATATTCAAGTCTTTTTTTGTTCCCTACAATATATTAATTTTTTCCCGCGTGTTAAAATTCCTTTGGAACCACCTTTCGGCGAACAGTCCATGTAAATGACGTTGCACGAACTCCGGGAAATGCAAAAAAACCATTATATTTTCTTTCGGGCGCTCAAAGCGCGAGGAAACAAAAGATTGTTCACGATCCTGGGGGGCATCGAGGGCACTCGAAAAATTAATACGACTTTTAAATTACAATGCGAAACTTCTCCGGTCTCGGACTCAATACAGGAATTTCATCTTTCCTAGCTCGATGGCGAGTGGCCGTTTATTCCCCGCTTTTATTTCCACGTAATGCTGGGCGCCATCAATTTACTTTGCTCTCGGCCACTCGGCAGATTGCTTGTCCCACGGCGATTGTCACTTCTACTTATAATACTTTCCGATCCTATTACCGCTGTTATGAGACAAATAGGTCAAGATTGTCTCGTCTAAGATCCCACGGCTTGACTCTGAGCTTATCTTTTCCACGGATTCCTTCCGTTCCCTCCGCCCCCTCCGCGGCAGTTACCCGTTCAAGTAAAAAGTGTTGCCTCTTATTTCATTACTGGGTCTTAGTTCGGCTCTTTTGAGCACCGTTCTGCGCCGCTCGACATTTGTTCCCTTCATATTTCTGATGTCGCCCGGAAAACGGATTTAAAACTCCCGAAGGAAACTGCCCCGAGTTAATTATTTTGATTTAATGCCTTTAGAATGGCATCTCCATCGTGGGCTGGTTTTAATTGGAGTGCGTCTTTGCTGTTCCAGTCGAAGAATTTTACCTCGGACAAATGCATCGGTGATTTTCGTGGATCGGTGTGCATAATTGACATGGGAGTGATACCGGAGACATTTCTTTGCTGTGCACGACCTTTGACAAGGAAATTGAGAAAGATAAAAATCAAGGAATTGCACATCTCAGCCAGCGAAAAGCTGATTCGATCGATGAGCGGAGAATATCTTGGAAATTATTTTAATAAAACGAATGATCTATTCTATCTTGGTACGCGAACTAACGTAGAATAACTCAATTTTAAAAAATAATTTCAAAATAATTTTGTGTCTTATCTCCGATAAATCCGTGATCTATTTCAATTTCCGTACTGGCGATATTATGAAACCTCTGCGAGCTTATTTTCTTCAAATAAAAAACAGCTGATTAATAAAAATCCATCGAGGGAGGAATCTGATTACCGTGACTCCCTATCGGATATTTTTTGTTCCTTCGTCGATCGATTACAATCGTGTACGCTGTCTTATTTCGTGGATATTGACAGCAAAAGTGTAGTGCAGTAATAAAGTAGTCAACGGGGAAGCAATACGTTCCTCGGAATTATTCTCCCTGCGTTAGATCGAAACAATGATATATTGTATATTGCAGAGCACTTCGTGTACTTCATAAACTTTATAAACATATTTATTTAACTTTACACGTTGCCTGAGAAACTAATTTTTTATCTTGGTGGAAAAAGTTTATACAACTTAAACAATATCACGCAAAAATCTTTGTTTGTGTTAGAGAAGCTTGGTTACCGTACTTTTTGATGCAAAACATAACATTTCTTTCTCGTTAAAATGTGCACTCCAATTTCAACGCGGTAGCGTACCACTCACCCTCATTATTCTACTAAAATTAAAACGTGGAGTAACGTTTAAAAAGTGTTAAATAAACTTATTTTCACGACTGCAATTCTTAGATCGTGAATGTAACTTACAGAACACGGGGAGAAATTTGTAAGAAGTCGCAGTTTTCAAAGCGTATCAAATATAAAGTGAACGTGTTGGTATAATTACAAAAATGAATTGTAAACGAATTTAAAATTTTGCCAAACAACAAAAAATGCATTTAAATATAATGTTAATGCAATTGGTTTAATATTACAGGGCATTATATTTACACGTATATTTAATGATAGACTAAAATTGCACCTTTTATAATTATACGTTAAAAATGAATCGTGCAAATAATTTCGTACCGCTGTTATAAAATTTATATTACATTTATGCTCGTTTGTCCGTGCTTTATTATTCGCATAAAAATTTTAAACTTTGAAAGACATAATTTCGTTAACGCGAAACTTATTGTCAGTTAAAAACCATATCAACCAGAGCGCAATACGAGCAAATGGCGAGGTACTTGTGAAATGTAAAAACGTTTCATTACATATATACATCAAGTATTCCATTTGTCAGCTATAGTAGAACAATTTTCAACTGAAGTGACCTCATTCTACCTCGTATCGACAATTGTTACAACCAGTCGTTGAATATGGTGAACGTACGCATGTTGTTTCTTTTTCGTGTTATTATCGAAATTTCGATATCCAGTGATATTTCTAACGTTTCGTATTAAATCATTATTAATAATCGTTGTCGTGAAACACAAATATTTCCAAGTGTTTGGTGAATGTATCGAACATTTAGCAAATTGAACATATTGACCGACCCCCGTTCCAGTTTGATAGCCCTTCAAATTCATACAATCCAATATCTAAATCATTAAAATCGATGAAATAGTTCTCGAGTTGTAAAAAGTTATGTATAGAAAAAATGAAACCTTCTAGTGAGTTTGAGAGATTCTGGATTCGAGTATTTTAAATTCTTTTAATATCCTTAGCTTCGAAGCGGGAGTTATTTTCGTTCCTCTCACCTTTGGGCTAAGATAAGACCGATTTCGATCCGCTTTAAATCTGTTCAATCTATTCCAACAATACATATGTACGTGCACGTACACTCAGTCTCCACGGCCTATTTAACATCGACCGTTTTTCTTCTATAAATACATGTAAACTGTCAACGAAAATATCAAGAACCTCGTTCGTTGATCGAATGTCGTTCTAATATTCGTTAAGAAATTAGATGAAGCCACGAAAAACCTCGTAAAGTGGGAATGAAAGTTTCTACATTTACGACTTCTATTTTATGAACGTATTTTAATTCAGAAACATTGCTGTCGCGATTAGAAAAACAGTTACGCGAACGCCATGATAGGGGATTTAATGGATTTGCATAAACAAATGCGCGTGATAAAACGACAGCAAAACCAACATCACCGTTTCCGCTTGAACAATGTCCAAAGCTTACGTATGGATCTGCGGTATAATAAATAATAAGTACAAAAGTAATTTAAACCGTGACATTAAATGCGGAACGTAGTACGCGTATTCAAATGCTATTCCAATTTTAAAACATCGCATTAACGTTTGAATCCTGGTTATATATTTCTCTTTGACAGTTTGCGTAGTTGTACAACGAAGAACTCCAGTTACAAAGAAGTTGGAAACAAAGAGTTTTCGGTTCGTTATTTCCGTTGTTTCAATTGAGTAAACCGAGCAATCGATTTTTCTACTTGTTGCGACTGCAACGTTGTTACGTACCAATAAACGTACCTCGATACGAAGGAAGAATGGGCTCGCTGTGTATGTGATATAGTATGTATACTAGTATCATGCATTGACATTCGAGAAAGGCTGAAAATTCTAAAGACCGCATTTCAAAAGGAGATTTCAATCGGGAACGTTAAAAGAATTGATTTTCGTTTCGTTAAATTTTCTGAGAATAGTGTCTTTGACAAAAATATGCTCTCAAAATTATAATCGAGATGAAAAGTTTAACTATTAAAGTTTTCAAATATAAACTACAAGAATTCATTTTTTTGTACACGTTGATTAAGTATTTCAATGCTGCGAATGGGTATTGAATAAATAAATACTTTTTAGTGGCCTCTAAAATAAACATCCAACGAATTTGAATCTGAGAAACGGAAAATCCAAGAAATAACTTCCATGCGATGTATTCATGCATGAATGATATACAGAACATACAGAAACGATGTACGAAGATTTTACTGTGTGTTAAAATACCTTTAATAATTTGTGTCTTTGCAGAATCTTCAAATACTTCGCGAAACACTGAATTTTTAAATATTGAACTCATCCCTCCGTTATTGTTTTTTTACCTTGTACCAAATTCTAGACATGATCCGTTCCAATTGCGTGACTTGCCCCCGTACAATTATTGCTATTTCCGCGATTGAAACAAACGGACGGAATCTCTGCGCGATCCCCAAACTTTTCCTTCACTCTGGAATTCATGAACAAACAACGATAAGGTTTTTTCAGCTACTTATTCTCTTGGTCTGCTGTTTTTTAATAAGTACGTCTTGCTTAGTGAATGAATTTCGTGTTGCGAGATTACTGCGAGTACGATATGCAAATTCAAGGAGAGTTTTTCATGCGCATCCTATCTGTTTTAGGCGGTGCTTTTCCACCGGAATTCGCTGGTCCTATCACAAATCTAACGGTGCCGCTCGGAAGGGACGCAACTTTTACGTGCCTGGTCAAACATTTGGGAGGATACAGGGTAAGTATCCCTTATGAAAATTCATCGACCGCTGATGCATATAATTTTTATTGCGGGCAGCCGGAGACACGCGTGTACATGTTCGTTTCCAGCAGTCATTCTGATTATTCAGCCCGTTTTCCTTTCTCTAAATTGCAAAACGCGATTGCAAATTTACACTTTCTACATTCCGTCCGACGAAGCACTCGAACGAAAAAAAAATGGTGCCGTCGTTGCAAAAATATCTTTCGTTGTTCGTGAAAAGATCGTTACTTAGTCTCACGTTTTCTTCTCACACCTTTATCATTATGTGGAAGTTGTATCAACGCCGAATAAAGTATAACATCGTGAAAAACGTGTTACGGTTCGTAATGCAGAAGAAGTTGTTCGAGCGGTGCAATTTCTGGCCGTACGCGGTCACGGTTTAAATTAAAGATAACATAGTTGTTCAAGAAAAAGAGTCAACGAGAGTGGTGCACGTATTTTTCTTGAAAAGAAACAAGAATATTTACTCCTGGTAGATTGCTTTATACTTGTTCAGCTTGTTCGCGTTAAAAACACAGATGTCACAAAGTCTCGGGCAAAGTCCACGAACGGCAATGTGACATAATTTTTTTCGTATAAAATATGGATGTTAGGGTGTTCCTCGTACGTGTCATTTGGAGCTAATCTCTTCACGCCAGTTAGTTTGCTGTCAGTCGTAGAGAGCTATCCGGACAAACATGAGTATCACCAGTTAACCATCTGGAAGTCAGATATTATACCTCCATCCTTTCTTACGCGAGAATATCCGGCACTCGAACATCTCTCTCCCGATGATTCCATTTTAGTCATGGAATCGCGTTCGTCGTAGAGCCGTGCATTAATCGACTGACATAATTGAAATAAATCATCATGGAACCGATTCGCGTAACTAACTTGGGCGTCCAACATCAATTTGAATGATTAATTAATAGCTCAATATTTCAGATTCGCGTGACTTATAATCAGCGTAATGTTTCCAATTAAAACTGGTAACAATCGGTCAAATATTTTTAATCAAAATCACCGATGATTCTTTTGTTTTTGTACAGTGTTCCTTTAAATTAAACAATGGTTCGAAATTTCCTTGCTTCGACACGGGAATACTGTTATCATGATAAAAGTAATTTCTCGAATAATCCATTTCGTTAAATTCACGCGCACTCTTTTTGATTCGATATCCTTTCTCCGGCTTCGTCCCTGTGTTTGGTCACAAAAATAGAACCGTTCCCCTTGCCGTATTAGATTTCATATACGTCGTCGTGAGCACAATTTCATTACACGTCACTGTGTATATTGTGGAATGAGGAAAATGTAAGAGCGGCCAATAATAATTTTTTAAAATCCCCCAATTTACGTTTTAATGTTGTCGAGGGGAACGGTGTAAATTTAATTACATTTAAGCTTTTATCAAATTTTTATCATTTTAAACTTAACTGCTATGTTTAAATAGACAGCAATGGGAATGATTATCAAGCGGCTGTATCTTTTTCGGCGCGGTTATATAAAGTCGTTGATTATTTGGTATCTAGAGGTGTATAGGGAATCATTTATTATTAATTGATGAGGCAAAGATAAATATTACTTACTCGTTCAACGTCTGACGTGAAATTGATAGTATTATTTTCTTTCGCGATGTATATCATTCCCCAAATTAATCTTTTCTATAATTTAATTCTAAATATAAGGATATTTGCGTTGTTATAATTATATGGATGTGAGAGAGCTAATTGGTATTTTATAAAGCATACTTCTCTGCACAAGTTTTAACCTGCAATTTTTAATTATGAACGCTTTAACGAAATAAATGTTCTTATTATAAGTTTGTAATTCAATTAACAAACGTCATAAAAATGAAAAAAATAATTGCTGGCTGCTAGTTTTCCCCGGTAACGTAATATTAAATTTTATAATTACGAAAAGAATTTCTGTCAGATACTTGTACCTCATCCGCAAAGCATAAAAGGTGAATTTTTTACCGAAGATCATAAGAGATTTCTTAACACTTTCTATAACGAAAATACATAATTCAACGTGATTACTAATCTCCTTCCCATTGGCTATTATTAAAGAAACAACGTTATCACCTATTTACCCGATCCACCGCTTTAATATCTACAGTATTACTAACATTTAATATCGCTGTTTCGGAATATGAATGGAATGACTGCGTAAATGAATTTGTGTTTGCTAGGATGAAAACCACTTTCGTTCCATTATTTGCATTATACTTAACGGAAAATTGACCGATTTACTGTAGGAATGCCGTAACACGTGTTTCAATTTCAGTGAACCAAAGAAAAAGGGGCAAAGGAACAATGAAAATTTAAAAGCAGCCGCTCAGAAGCGGGGAAGAAGAAAAGTTGTGTTGTAATAAGCCAGCTTGCTCGCATTAAGATCGCTTTGGCACTGTTACAAAGAGATAAATAATCTGGCTACGAGCGTCTAATGACATTATGCAAGAGTAAAGTGGTAACGAGCGACTGTTGCTAATTTTTCATTTTAAGTTTAACGCCGGAATGACAAGCCCGACGACGCGAATAAGGCGTGCATTCGCAATCTCAGCAGGATTATTTCGTAATTCAATATCCACTGTCCGACAAATCGTAGTCCATTGTTTGAACCAATTACGTAATAAACCACGTTAAACTTGCAAAATATCATTATCATTAATGAACGGTTGGGACTAATCAATAACTAACAGGAAATAAATTTAACATGTAATATTAATAATGACGGAATATAAACATCAAAAGTAATTGGGACAAACAAATTTGACTGGTTTAAAAAATCTTCAAACTGTTCCGGAAAAATTATTCTCAGTTGCGGAGGTCAATTGCAATTATTTTTGGTCAATAGACATACCCCCGATATTCTACGTAGCTTCGAGAAAAAAATTCGAGTAGTGATGAAATTTTTCAAATCGTTTTGGAAAAATTATTTTCAGTTGCAGGGGTCAATTACAATCATTTTTGGTCAATAGACATACCCCCGAATTCCTACGCAGTCTAGAGAAAAAAATTCCTTAACGAAAATATGTCTGACCATACCGTTGAGATGTTTCCCTGAAATTTCATGCGTATGTTTAAAACAGCATAACTTCTGAACGGATGGAAGGATTTTAATGTTTAAAAAAGCAAACGACGGGTATTTTAATGAAGAATATGTAGAAATTCTAAGAATACTCGAAAAGTTGTTCTTCAACCCCGTAAATTGAGAAAACCCCCATAAAAAAGGTCCAGTTTTCAAATTACCATAACTCCTACAATAATGAACGTATTTGATTTAAATTTATTTGGAGAACAAAGCTCATAGATACCTACGAAAAAATTTCAAATCATACAAAAATAAATAACGCATACGGTTATTAAAAACAGAACGCGTCTCGATGGGATGCTACGCAATACTGCTGTTGTCCCACTTTCGCACCCATGTGCACGCATGTGCAGTATACGCAAAGCACGAAAAAGAACCAGGGTCGTACAATAACGTTGATCGTGCATTGATCTGACGAGGAATATATCTATTTCTCGCAGAATGTACGAGCCACTCTCCGAAAACAATTCCGAACCCCATTACGACATCCCTGGAGCACCCCGGCAACTCCTTTTCTATTAATACAAGCGTTTCTCGAGGCCCGGTAGTACCGCTCTTGCGACTTCGCCAGATTTGGAATATTCGAAGGAAAATGCAAATATCCCCCGAAGTTTAGCCAAGGAGATAGAAGGCGCGTACGAGCCGCCTATACGTGCCTCTCTTCCACCCATGGTGTAGGTATCCGGCTTGTTTGTATTCCGTGCTCGACCTGTCTATAGGGAAATTGCGGTGTCCCCGGTGTCGAAATCTATGAACACGTCTGTGGCCTCTGATCGTCCTCGTTGGTTCCGTGTGCTGTCGTCTCATTAACCCTTTCGATCTGACCAGAGGGTCCTAGACTTTACTAACCAGCTCAGACGGCAGGGTTCTACTAAATTGCTTACTAAATTGAATCAGTCACTTCGAGAAGGCAGTTCGTGGAAACTGCACTTCCCTGACAAACGAAGGGCACTTCTATGGGACATTTTCGTATTCACCCTACGGCGTTGATCGTCCAGCCATTTGACCGGCATCAACAATTGACCCTAACACCGGTCGAGTTTGACGAAAAGGATTATCAAAAGGAAAAATAAGGGAAACGTTACTGTTGACCGTATTATATTTATTATTGATTTAACCTGAGAAAATATGGACTCTGTAAAGTCTTGGACTGTATTTAGTGTAGAGAGATCAGCAAGTGATTCTAGCATGAGTTTCTACCGGGCTTATCGTTCGCGTCGAGCCTATTCGCCTGAATATTTGTCACCATAAACAATATCACCTATTGCCCGATGACCATATTGTCACACAGACACGCATTTACTTCGATCCATTCCTGAGACACAACCACCAAGTTAGATTCACACAGATATGCTACGAAGTCGGCCTGCCAACAAGGTACGGGAAGCGACGACTATCTTCCCCTTCCTGCCCCTGTCGACACTGGAATTTCTCTGGATCTCCCTACAATAACTGTCTATTGTAACTATGGACTGGATTATGGAATATGAATAGGTGTAAACGGTTCGACTAGTTATAATGGGGATACCACTAACGATTATAGATAAATTATGAATATCTTATTGAATCGTTACTGATACAGTATTCCCGCTTTAAATGCGCGTTACTCAAGATCGAAGAGTCGCATTTAACGGAATGGGGTACTGTTCTTTGTGTTCAGATCGGCATGAAACAGAAACCATGTTAAAAGGAAAGCTTTGCTGCTTTCAATGATGGTTCAGTTATAAAGAAAACGTGAGTAGTTTCTGAACTGCACGTATCTAAAGTTTGACTATTTTTAATACGCGCCGATAGACCGTATGTTACAAATTTAGTAACAAATCTCAGATCTTTATTGGTTATTCGTCAATCAAATTTGTCCAATTTTGATCTAGTTTATCGAAGTTCTTGTTAAGTAAAAATAGAAATTTCGAAGTAGAACGACACTCTCTATTATCTGTGTACTTGCATCACAGAAACCTAATAGGATTAAAATCTTTTTATCCGATCCAAAATATCGTCTATCAAAGTTTCCAATTTCAATTAGATAATGGTTCTTCCCTAATCTTATAGACTCCATGTTTTGATCTTTTGATTCCATTTTAATTCAATACTCCTCTGAAAACAAACGTTGTTTGTTCCATACACATAACATCTGAATTGCAAAATGAAATTATCATAATCTCTTTCGGCATGTAGGAATGCCGTCTTCACATCGAAATGGATCATCTCCATATCTCGATATGCGGTAAGAATACACTATACAGAATCATATTGCACAACTGGTGCAAAGGTTTCTTTATAATCGAACCCTCGACATCGAGTAAGGTCTTTCACCAGTAAACAAATTTAAGTATAACGTTGCTGTTAGGATCTTTTTCAATTTTATAAAGTCTCGTAGAGTGCATTGGTGTCTCCTCAACAAAGATTCGTTCTCATCTTCGATACTGTCTTCCTAGTTTTCTTTATTTTATAATGATATCTTTTGGACTAATCAAGATTTCTTTGATCCCACTATTTGTTTCGTCTTCTTCAGACCATTGTCTCTGCCCTTTGTAGCAAATATTGACGCAACTCTAATTATCCTTCATCAAGGATAACGTTTCTAAAAGTACAGATTTATCTTGATGCACCCCTATAATGACGATAAACATTATTTGATCCTGTGCATCCATTAGCTTCTTACGAGTCTTATAAAAAAACACTTTCATACTGGCGTTCAAGAGTTAAAGTAGTAATTGTTAAGGTGGCACGGAATTTAAAAAGTGTATTTTTAACATTTTATTTATTTGAGTTGCTTGCTTTGTCGGCGGTTGCCACGATTTCCAAGACGCATTTATCACGACAGCTACCAATTTTTATAATACGAATGTTTTCGACAGGTTGGCTGGGTGAAGGCGGACACTAAGGCTATTCAGGCGATCCACGATCACGTAATAACTCACAACAAGAGGATCTCGGTGTCCCATAGCGATCATACAATGTGGAATCTTCACATAAAAGGCGTGCAACAGGAGGACGAGGGTCTCTACATGTGTCAAATTAACACGGATCCCATGAAAAGTCAAGTGAGTCCACAAAATAATTTTTCTATCGTACGAGTACACTTTACATAAACTCACTCGAGTAATTGTTATTTTAAAAAATTGTCCAAGGACAGTTGAATGGTCTAGTTATTAATAAATTAAACAACGACTTTCTGGATGGAAATATTGGAGTCCCCGGGTAAAAAGGGAATTTACTTAGGCACTGTTGGCTGTCGGACATGTTTAACTGCTTGCTGTTTCGACCATTTTCAGTAACTAAGCGGTCGGAATCAGAGCTTTCTGCGCGCAGTTTAGCCGGCAGGACGAATCGCGGTAAGCCGAGAAACTCGGTGAAATAACTAATTGGAAACGGTACCGCCGACACTATTTAGATCGATAAAGTTCTGGGATGCACGTCGTTTGCGGGGCCCATCAATTCCAATTAAGTGATTCTCTACGCTTCCCCGATACGATCTTTCGCGCGATATCAAATTCCTTTGCCGCGACCGTTCGAATTTACATATTTCAATTTCGTTGACTGCTACACCATTCACGCAAAACAGCAGTTGGCAATAAAAACAGCGATAAGAATCGCGCGAATCGATCCGAATAATTGGAAACGAGACAAATTATCGTGTTGAATCGAAGAAAACTAGGAATGCTGAAGTTCGACGAATTTTCGCGACACAAAGTTACAATACTAAACGGTATTAATTGAATTACGAAGATTCACAGGTATCAGTTACCTTCGATGTAACAATCTCTACAAGTATCGGAGGTATTTCTCTCGAGCTGCCGAAGCACGGCATTCCAGGGAACTTAACAAGCCATCTTCGCTAGTTCAGGAATGTCATCTCTCGTTTATGAACACCTTGGAAGCAATGTTTAGATTTTAACAATTTTTACACCTTCGACAAGATTCGATCCATTGAAGCGGATTTAATTATATACAGTGTAACAAACGTAAATCGAACCAAAGTTCTGGACTGCATCTTCTTAAGAATAGAAATGAAAAATGTCGAAGTACTCGTGAATATGGAACTCACAGCGAAATAAAGTTTTGATCCTAGAAAGAAGAGGCCATAGCACGATCGCGAAGTCTCAATTAAATAGTGATAAGATTCTATTTCCGTCGAGTCTTTTAACAATTCCTGGAGCCTCCTGTTGGCGCAACACAGGGAAAGGTATCTTGCGCCTTTCAAACGATGTCTCCGCAGTACCGTGACCAAGAAGAATCCAACGTTCGCTAGCAGAGAGAAAGGTCGTCTTTAGCAAGCTATTTTCTCTAACGCACAAACGTCAGCTTTCATTCCGTCGACTTTCAGCCAACCAGCCTTACTCCTGGCATCATGGCGTGCCTGCACCAACAGACACTCTCTGCAAAGTATCCGACCGTCTTCTTTCACCCTGCGAACCGTCTCGTCCCGGGAAAGTGTGATATGGCACGAGATAGAGTCGAGTCTCTCCTTTGAGATCTAATTTTCCGACATTTCAGATTGAATCCGGGCTCGCAGGCTTCCGTTCTCGTCCAGGAATCTCTTGCTTTCTCCCTCCCCCCCCGGCCGACGAAACAGTAATCTTAAATAGTGCAGCGCGGCGTTACGACTGTTGCCAAGTTAGCGAGTCCCCTTTAACCTCGTCCCTTACATGGCCTCTAAGTAATGAGCGGGGGAAACACTAGCGAAAATACATCAGTCAATCGGTGGGAAACCCTTCCGTCAGCCTGAAATACCGGTTTCTTCTGTTGCTTTTGTTCCATCGGAGCCGGCACACCCCCCAAATTCGTCTCTCCCTCGTACCGCGCGCCTTCGTCGAGTGGTAAAACTCGACGCCGCCCTCCTCGCGGCGAATTCTACGAGCAGTTTCGTTTCGGCTAACCGTATTTCTCCGCTCGTTTCCGTGCGATTCCAACAAGGCGGCTCCTTTCGAGCACACTCGACGCTTAGACTGCGCGGCTAACAAAATGCAGTTTACAATGCTTCCTCGAGAGACTTCTAAAGAAAATTCTTCCCAGTTGGTACGCGTAATACGTTTAAGGGCTTATATTACCATGAGACGTTGGGAAAAAAATCAAATTTTTTCCACCTGGGGTTCGGTAGAAGCTACCGAAAGTATTTTCTATATAGTTCCAGGTAGAAACACACGCAGAAATAATGAATAGAGGTTTCACCGGAAGCCATGCAGAATCGTAAAGTACGCTGCTTCGTCGTCGCTGCCCGATCAAACGCGAGAAACTTTATTACGTAAGAAATACGACCGCTAAACTGGGCCACAGTTCGTAGGAAAAAGGCGACGTGCATAGTTTCGAATTGATTTTATTTCTGACCCAATTTCTTCAAACAATTGTGTTTCCTTTTTGTTCGACCGTCTAATGAGATGTGCATCAATGAACGTAACGTTTCTTGATCTTGAAGTAAAAGCTGATTTGTAATTTGATAACGAGGTCCAAGATATTGAAATTAGTTTTAGGTCCTCGTTTAGGATCTTAATAGTATGTCTTCATTTTCACCGAGATTAAAAGAATATTTTTGTGACTGCCGTGATTTGAATGCTGCGGGCGAAAAATATTGAGACGAAATAGAGAATAACCAGCTGCGAACGAAAACCCCGAAGAGTACGAAGAAGACGATCAAATAATAAGAAATCTCCGAATAGTCTGGTTCCCGTTAATTGTATTTCCTATCAGTTTCCGTGCCGTCTCGGCGGATGCTGGGCTTCTTTGCCAATGGTTTTTACCGGTTATCTTGTGCGATTCATTTTCACTCGAACACAATACGAGACTCATTTGTGCTCTTCATGTAATTAGTACGAAGTTGTTAACTAATGAACTCGAGACACGTAACGTTTATATTACGAGAATATCTTAATAATACGGAAAAACATAATAGAGAAATTAAATGAATATAATTTTAATGCTATTATATCAGACATTTAATTCTGATATTTGTCTGCCATGAAGTTAAATTTTGTTGGAATTATTACAGAATCGTACGAATTGTATTCTTAGATTTACTATGAATACTTTTCTCTTCGTTTGTTATCTCTTTAAAATAAATAACATTCTCTGAAGTAAAGATAAGGAAGATCAATTTTGATAAAGTTTAACGGTGTTTTAAAAATTCTTGCTAAGTCTAGATTAAAGCGTCTTCCAGTATGCCAATCAAGATAATCCCCGAGACGTCACTCCGTTTCGCGTTAATGTCTGAGAAGATAACTGCACATTTCAAGATCAGAAAATGTCTGGGTTATAAGGAAACTTGGTGTATCGGAATAATTAAGCTGATCGAAATAACAATCTTCTAAAACAACGAGCCCTATCTTGAAATTTGATTTATATATTGTGTTTTACTATCTCGTAAAAGCTTTTAATTTTCACGATGGAAAACGAAGGTATCTAATCCCAATTCGATTTTCGTTACGGTTTTCTCCAAATGAAACAATTTGATGTCTGCTCCAATTTCGATTCTATCAATCTGTGAACACACACCGACCAGCGCGACTTGGAAATTTCTAGAAACGAGACTTTTTGATAAATTATTGCGAATCTTGGGGCAGGTACTCGCGAAAGAGCCGTCGATACAACAATGTTAAAACAGTAAGAAACGAAGTATACCCCGGCAGTGATTCCTGTAAACTTTTCACTCCGACCTCGGACGAGTTGCCTTTGGTGCGTTCGCGAATCGAAACTCCGTGCTCCTGACCGGAATTAATAACCTCGTTCGACCGCGGGCTATCGGTTAAACGAACGGTTTCTTAAATGTCGATTAACAATCGTGGCCATCGCGGCTTACAGCCGCTAAAGAAATTAATCGATCGGTCGGGCGTTCCGATTAGCGCGCATATTTATCAACATCCCCGATGGGGAGACGTCTCCAAGCAGGCAATAATTAATTTATGGAACGGAACGCGCAGTTTCATAATTCACTCGCGCGACACCAGCAAGTTTACGTGCTTGGGCACGTGTCTGCCTGTCACCGAACTGTCACGCGGGGGATAAGAGAGATGCACGAGTGAAGTCTGGCGCGAGCAAGGGGGTTAGAGAGTTACACGGGTGCCGTTCGCCTGTTTCAGCTACGTATTCGTTGAGACTGTTTTAAGCAGTTCAGTGACTTGCGAGACAACTCGGTTATAACGATTGAAGTTTCGTCATAGCGTAGATTACATCCTCGTAATTACGTGCACACCTCGCCTACGACAGCCTACTGCAGGTGGTTCCACGTTCTGCCGACTGTCGGCTGGCTCCCGTAAACCGTAAGTGGAGTGGAAAGATATTAGGATGGGGCTAAGTTCTTCTGACTGTACTAACGTTTCGTGGTTTGACGTACGACCGCTTGGAAAAGTCCTGACGTACACCGAACTCGTACCTCCTTCCACACGTCCCCCCGTTTTCCCCTACTCTGTAGGAATTACGACAGTACACTGCCTCAGTCGCAGCATGCTCGCTGATAAGCGACGCTGGCAACGCCTAAAATCGCTCTCCTATGCGACGTCACTATTACGAATTGTTTACGACGCTGCTCGTAACTGAGTCACGATTGTCACTTGGATATTCAGTGCGAAATCAGCATTAGTTTCTTTGGAACGATCGAGGTACTGTTCACTTTTGATCGAATGCAGCGAGAAGTTACGATCGATTTCTAGTCTTGCGTCAATTGGCTATATTATTAATTTTGGTAAGTTCAACGCACAATAATATCCATATCTTTTGTCTACATTTAAAAAAGAAAATAAAATAAAAATGTTTCATTTGTTGATAGTAAATTAAATACATATTTCATTTTTAAAAGTCTAAAATAAAATATTTCTTGACCATTCGTATCGTGTATCTCCTTTTAAAAATTAAACTAAAGGGACCCTTTTAATGTTTTCCTCGTTTCCTAATAATTTTGAAAATTGTGAAGACCGTAATAAGCAGTTGGAATAATATCTGTGGAATAATGCGGTTGAACGTAACTTTCGACTTTAATTCTCTGATTTTTATCATTACTGTTTTAGCGTTGCATTGTGCCGCGTTTCCTTGATGAGGTACAATTTGCTTCTCAGTCACGAGACCTGGACGTTTTCTTATTAATTCCTTGTTAAGCTCCTCCGTGAGAGGAATTCAAATCCTTCAGCAATTTGAACCGTTGTTAATTCCGGTTATGCTTGCGCGAGGCTGGCTAACGTAATATTATCAAACTTTCCAAGATATTCAGAACTTCCTTCGTTATTGGCACCGGTACACTTTGAGTCATCGAAACTACTTCCGAACGGTTCGTCACAGACGATGTCTTCCAGATTTCCTATTTTCTTCGACATCTTCTTACTTTATATTATTATATTAAAGCGATAGATAACCCAAATGATTGACTCGAATTTAAACAAATGATTTTAAGAAGATGAAAGGAAAACGAAATCTATCGTCCATAGCGAAATATCCTTCAAACGAACATCTACAATAGCAATCAGTCGAAGCGCCAGGGCAACAACTGCGCGAGAAAAGAGTCGAACTTACGATTCGAGCAACTGAAAAAGCAGCAAAGGACAGTTTTTCAATCCGCGAGACTTCCTTTTAAGGAAATATCTCACAGCCGATGAAAGTCAACCACTCAAATCTCCCTTCCAACCGGAAGTGAAATCACGCTGCAACTGCTTAATGAACGAGCAATTTCACGGCGATTCAACTCAGCCCGGGGATGAGGAAAGGGGAGGGGAGGGAGGGATTCACTCCAACGTTTCGAGCTGCTGCCCCCCTTTTTGCATCCCTCTCGGTGCGTGTTATCAACGATTGTTTGGACAGTGTCAAAGAAAACTCCGTCGTGGATTGTTAGGTAACGGGGAAAATGTACGATAACAACAACAACTGCATCGAACGCTACTTATTATATCGCGTCGCGGCGTGTCGTTAATTAACGAAAAGCTGCAGCGCTTATTGGCAGCGGCGCCGCTGGTCCAACCCCCCCTCCCCTTCCCGCGCCACCCTCCTCGCGTCGCTTACAACCCCATGATATGTTGTTCCAGTTTCTCCTGCGGCGGGGGTTAAGGAAGCACAGGCGAAATACAGCCAGGATTTAGGAGCTCTTGCGTTATTCAGTCCTGCTCGCGAATAGAGTAATGTATACGGATATAATTTAGAGATTCGGTAAGAAAGGAAATTTACTTGATGCATTGTGCAGCCGTTAAGCGTATCATTAACATTAAATTCCGGCCCGTTCCGGTGCGTACCGGAAAATATATCTCGCGGAGGACGAGTTTTGGCACGAGGGCTAAAATACTGTTCGGGACGTAAGTAGGCCGGCGCGCAATTGTACGGTTTTGCCTGGAAACGCTGCTAAACTGCGACTTCGCCCGTTAATTTTTGGAGATCGTTGTGGTTAAAATGATATCCCATCCGTGAATAGTTTCCTTAAAGGAGTTTTGCGTTCCAGGCGGCTGAAAAATCGATTCCTTTCCTTTTATACCACTTTCGTATTACTTATAGTCTTAAAGCATGCAAAATGTACTTCCGATAAAAGCGTTTTTAAAATTTCAGTAACGGTCAGCGCACCATTCGCGTTCTATCACAAAATATTCGTTGGATTTTATCAATTTTTCGAATTTACAATAATGATAAAGAAACGTGTCGAAACACAGAAGAAAATGAAATAAGAGACAGCGAAGTCTAGTGTGAAGTGGAAGATTTGATAATAAGCTCTTATGAAGGCGGATGTTAAAAAGTGATCATTATTTTTTAAAAGTGTCTTCCAAGGAACAAAAAGTATCCTTATCATTTTTCTGAAAGTAGCGGGACTCGCCACGGCGTTATGTTCCATTTGCTGCGTGTTCTCGAAAAGAAGCTCTTATCTTAAATTCGATACTGACTCTAATATAAGATCCTCGACATAAATAGTTCTTTGAGTACGAGAGGATGAAATAATCATATGATGACAAATATCAGACCTTATCGCTTGGACAGAAAAGAGTTGTGATTTCTGCTAGTTCATGTAATACTACAATAATATTTATTGTGATTTTCCACAGTTTGTCGTTGCTTTAAAAATATACCAAAGTAAATCTCAAGAATCGATAAAGTCCAAAAGAAGAAGAAATAAATACTTTATGGTATTGTGCGTGGACCGTGACTGAAATTTCAAAGTTGCTTTCATCGAAACTACATTCTGCATGTTTCCGGAAGCGATATCTTAAAAATGAGTACAGCTTTCGAGTTGAAATTTTAATAGCTTGTAGAAAACGTGTTCCATATCCGTGGAGATAGAATTACGACGACATCTACCATAGTTTTCACTTCCTTTTAATAAAAAGACAAAATTTATTTGCCTCTTTCATTTTAAAATAACGTTATTTTCTAAATTTCAATCTCTTAAAGTTATTGTTGTTATATTTTTAACTGACACTTTTAAAGTCTTAAAATTTGTATTTTTTAGAAAGCTTATCTGCCAAAAATTTTATATAAAAATGTATATAATTTAACGTTTCGCGTTAATATACTTTGTTTTTCAATTACCCGTTCAAGCGTGTGGGCACAGCTGGACGAACATCTGGACAAACGTCCAATGACTGCGCAGTGAGGTTTTCATGTAGCAGTAAATAAATTAATGCTTTAATAGAATAATGAAAATTGCCATAACGCTAATCTTTTTAACGAATTTAAAAAAATTAAGAATATAACTTGAATGCATTCATTCTCTACTAACTGCATTATGATATTAAAAAAAAAGTCTATAAACATCTTCTTTAGAATTTTGTGCGACTAGATTCTTAAAATTGACTTGACTAACGCGTCCGTCCATTACTTATGTGTTTATATACGTCTGTCGTGGCATGATATTATCTATTGTGATTGATTCTACCTACTTAGGAGATAGTAAGATCGGAAGGGAATAGATAATAGCAGACCACGATCAATATTTACAATCTCTGATATAACTAGAAATAATCTAATGGATGTATAGATTATATTCTGGTATAAAAAAAATTATATTATACACATTTGTTTCATATTTTCATGTGGAATCATTATCCTGCCGCAGTAAGAAATAAACAAATAACTGAATAATATATAATAATTGAAAATATTCGATATTTATAAAAGTAATTCAATAAATATCTTGGAATATTTTAATGAGAAATGTAGAATCGAATTTGAAGCGATATTAGAGATTCGATATCGAAAGAAAGGAAAAAATAACATGATCCCTGGATTTGAACCTGGAACCTTCCGGATTATAGACCGATATGTTGATCCCCGGATGTCGCAACTATCGAAAGACACGTCGATTCTAGTTAAAGACACAAGTCTCAAACCAAAATTTAATATTCTGTGTATACGTATATTTTTAGAATAAAAATATAAAAGGTTATTTTTTTTTAATAAAAATGACTGATTATCAGCGACTAATATTCCAAGATGTGTTTCAATCTACCGTGTCCTACATTTTAAGCTCGTTTTTATCTGAAAAGCGTACTTCCTATTCGTATCCTCCCCTTTAAGTTATATTTTTCATTCGTAGAAGAACTCGCGAAACAAACAGAAATTAGTATTTCTTTGATGAGAAACTTTTCTTTCGCTCGATTGCTGAAATATCGCGCTGTATGCTACGGCAACGGGACAAAGACAAGTCTGTTATTTACTTGCCAATTATTTTACCCTGGAGAATCGAATTAAGAAAGCAAAAGGAAGGATAAACTTTTAGTCTAAAAATAAGGAGTCAAATCAAATTATTTCTACTATTTAATATTGACGAAATTAACGTTCACTCTTAGTTTCTTAAAACAAAGTTTATTATTCAATCACTGACTGTTTATTGAGCATTGTTAAAAAATTTACATAAAGTTTAAGACGAGTCACGTATTCAGTACTTAATCTGGATACCACGCGTACGGAACATATGTATTAAAACTTATTTAATCGCGCCAGTTGGCCGCGTTTAAAACAAGTAAAGTGCATCCTGTATCGCAGCTTTCAATTTCCATTTAATACTGACGAAACGTGGAACGAATCATAATTGCGTATCTGTATTCTATTACACTAATGAGAATCATATAGCGACAGTCGGAATCTACACGTTTCGGTACGATGAAGAAATCACTAAGATGAGAAATTATAATTGTGGGTTTTTTATTACAATTAATACGTTGTATATAAAATTAAACTGCATTCAAGAATTTTAATCAATTGAAACTATCTACAATTTGTAGCAAGCCCGGTATTTTAAGATTAAAAAATTGATCTAGCAAATTAATGTTAAAAGTCAGTTCACTTTGAAGCAGGATAGCTAACGTTTCTAATCTCGAGCTGAGATTATGCGACTCCATCCTTTTACAAAAATACAGAGCATGTCAGGGGAACATGGTCAGACAGATTCTACTCGAGCCGCTGGGCTCGCATACTAAGCCGCTTGGGTGAATGTCTAACTACATTACTGTCACTTCACGGTATCTCGTGTTTATCAACACCATTTCACGAAACTGCTAGCACGGAACTTGCTTCTTACTCGCTCTCGCTGTTTCATACCGCGGTCTCGATGTTTTCAAAGTAAAGGTTTGCGAAATGGATCTATTGTCGGACATCCGACGTTCGGGTCGGGTGGAGAAATATCGATTGGGCAGGATAGGGATCCCGAAAATATGCTTATACATGCTATATTTTCGATACATACGATGGGGTCATGTTCAAAGTATACAAGGTGTTATAGAAAATGTGAGACATTTTTTGAGGATCACTTTTTCGCACCAGTATAAATCGAAATGTCTGTTACCATATCTCAGAGACGGTTCGACCAATTTCCTTTAAATTTTAGAAACGTGCGAAATAGATCACAAGTATCGGAATTCATCCTCAAAATGCAATAAAACTAGTAAATAGTAGTTCAAATTTTACTAACAGAAAGATTATTAGACATTAATAAATTTGAGAGAAATATAATAGAAAACAAATTCTTTTTTTTCCAGACAGGCATGTTGTCGATCGTGGTGCCACCAGATTTCATTCCCGAAGAGACATCAAGCGACGTAATGATACACGAAGGAGGACAGGTAAGTTAATATTCTGCTTTTTACATTTTATTAACTGAAATAAATATAAACTCTATAATTTTTTAAATCTATTTAAAAATAAGTTTTCAGAGACGCTTTACAAACAGAACGTTGACTATGTGTCCAGCTACAATAATATTCTAATAATCGTGATATTTCGTTCAGTCTGTCGTAATATTTAATATTTGCCTTTCGTGTTCAATTTTTCCACGTGAAAATCATGAACCATATAGATTCGATGTTCACGGCGCGGAAAAGAAAATCCTGTAAATATTACTAAAACGTTTCAATAACCTGTTGCACGTGTGCGTATCGCAAAATCGCGTGCTTTCGAAACGTATGTCTAGCATAATGCGCAAATATTTTCCCTTTCCTGGTTTTCTTATCAAAATTGATGGCGCAGCCCCTGCAAAGAATATTACGTTTTGTTGAGAACGGACGACAAAGTGCCTTGAAAACCGTCTATATGTACTTTCTTCTAAGGCGTATCACGATATTCTTTCGTCGCAGTACGGAATAGTCTTCCCGCCGCTAGACCCGCTTATAACGCGGTGAGATTTAGTTCCTGCGAATTTCAGTAATTAAAACTACTTCGCCTACTAAATTTCGCACGAGTACAATTAAAAAGCCACGGAGAAATGACGACGTAACTCAGCGTAATATACGTACATTTAAGGGCCGAAGTATTTATGCGACGTGGGGGGAAAAAAGTACTCGCGTTACCTCTTATTTATTGCGCGCGGGAATCGATTGTGCCAAGATCGAAATTTACTTTAGAATTATTTTGTCACCGTACCAACACGAACCATAATTCGGTCACGATTAACCACTTTTTAAGTATTACCCATAACAAATCATTTTTTTCAGTAATTTCCAGTAGTTTCTAATATTCCGAATAACCCTCATCATTTTTAACTATGTTTATTTCAACGAAGCAATTTAGCTTGAAACGAGATAAACTAACGACTTGAAGAAACTAATATAAATTAATGGCGGACATAAAATTTCTATTATGAACTTTGGATTATCTTGGAAAATCCGACTCGCCTGCCAATGGTGTATTTGGTCTCGTTTCTCGCCTCGGAGATACTTTTCCGCGCGCGGAGAGTTAGGTTTATCAAAAATGAAAATTTCAATTCCAAGCTGAACGTGTGAATTGGTCGATGGAACGACACTCTCGTTCGATAGACGTTGAAGTAAACGTACGATACTTTTTCATCCCAACGATAAATATTGTTATTAATGGCACGTAGTAGCCAGTGTGCTCTCCACAGGCTGGTACCCGTGTTTGCAAAAACATCGTTGCGTGTCGAGATTTTCCTTTCGTCGCGGGATACGTTTCCTACTTTATCTGAATTTCAATGCGACGGGGCTAGAACTTTTAAACTCGTTTTCTGTATCATCCCACATCTAGGATATCAGTCGGCGGCCTACCAGTGTCCTTAATTTAAAATTGATAAGGTCGTTCGTGAGGACCTTACGAACCGGCAGAATCGAGGAAACGATCATTTCGAAGGAGGCTTCCTGAGAAAATCTTCTTGTTCAATGTATTCCCACGAGAATGATAAAATCCTCTAGTTAGCTGTCGACAAAAATGTCGAACGATCTTTAAACTGTTCACTTTATTTAACTAGAAATTATCGTGCTGATACGTAAGATGGTGATCAGTTGCATTTGTAAGAATAACACTTATAGAAAAAAAATATTTACTCTTAAGTGATCGTGAGATGTTTAGAATGTTAGAATATTGTACAGTGTCTTTGACGAATTTCTCATAAGGGGCATAATATGTTCGTACACAGTGTTTTATCAGCGTTACAGAATTCACCAGAGTGCACTACACTCGCTACTTTTTTAATCACAATGTACATGACGTCTATTTTTTTTTTACTTAATGGACATAACGAATATGCCCGCCAGCGGTGTAAAACTTTCGCCGCTGTAAAGTGCTTTCCGCGCAAACAAACTTAAGAGAATAAAATTGATTGATAAAAGGAATTGGAAACTTATTCAGGATGATTCTTAATCGCATGTACTTTTTTAGAAACGTCAAATGTGTATCGATGCTTTCGTAAAACTGTCAAATCAGTGTCGATTTTGTTTGATAACTGTGCACAAATAACATTTTACAGAAAATTTTGTTTATTTTGAAAGATTACATTTTCATCTCCATTGTTTTAATAGTGTATTCTTCCTTTTTATTTTGTTGCAATTTCATTTGCATGCCAGTTCTGTTCTGGGAATCTTTCACAGATATTTGTAAGATGATAATAGTATAATCGGAAAAATAATTCTGTGTCTAACTGCTTCTACTGAGTATTCTTAAAATACGGTTAATTTTCCTTCTTCTAGTGAACAAAGTCTAACCGTGGAAACGGGAAGATTCTAACGCAAAGTAGATTACTTTCTTATATATACGAGGCAGTTCCGATCGTTTCATTTTTATCAATTTTCAATAGTCGATTCAGTTTTATTTTTCTCTTTCTTGCGGAACAGCGTCCAACGACTAAATCGAAAATTTACTATTGTTTAATGGCGAACTGATTGAAATTTGATCAAGGGGAATCGATATTCTTTCAGCCAATAAAGGAAAGTTTATCTCGTTTAGCGGAGCGACAGAATTAAATTACAGAAGAACCTCGATTATTCCAAGTTTCAGCTCTTTTATTCTCACAGTGAACAGTCGGTTCAAGATCTGCTGCATTTGTACCCTTCTTTTTGAATTGACATCGCAGTATTGCTGATAGTTACGATTCAAACAAAATATCATTCGCGAGATTAAACGAATATCTATTAGAGACACAGATATTAATTAAATGTTTAGTTATTTAGCTTAACGAAAGCTCGACGAAAGGTTGTCTTGTTACGTTATAAGATTAACTTATCTTCGTTTAAAATTGTTAAATGAAAATTCATATTTATGTTGATATCTCAACCTTCTGGAAAACTTTCCTATGGTTTTACGTCGACGTTGTTTATGAATTCCAAAGTCGCTAACCCTTATAATTCTCGTTGTGTCTGGTGGCTGTAATACTTTTACTCTCTTGGGATCGTTATCTTGTTGGAGGATAAACGAATTTCCATGATTCAGACTTCTCGTGCTTCTGTGTAACCTATGTAAATATGCACGGGCTTCGTGTGGTTTTTGTGAAGTTTTCATGGGATTAATAATTTATGTAGAACGTTTTGGAAAAGTGTCCATTAATTTTTCATTTGTAAAAACAACATTCTCGTTTTTTCATACGAATCCTATGGGTGCAAATTTAATAATCAACGGGTAGATTTTATGTATGTTCATTTTTAATAAATATATTTCTGATGATGCTTTTTCACGAAAGAAAATTATCAAACTATTAAATACGTGCATACAAACTTGAAAAATAATTGATTAACCCGAATATCAAATATGTTTGGAACTTCAATATGTACATTTATTAAAAGAAATGGCGTCAGTCAAGTGATAGGGAACCGCGTTTGTAAAACTTTATTAATAATTTTACGCACATCTCCCCTCGAGTAGTGAAGTCAGATTTCCTTTCCTCGTACTTCTCAGTGGTCCTGAACAACCAGTTTGTTTCGTGCGGAAAATAGCAGTTGCGTGTAAACTCAGATAAAGCTTACTTTGGGGACCATCGTAAATTGGTTTTCTGAATTATGTAAATAATAAAAGTTGCAGCATCAGTCTCGTTATTTTGTCTCGAAATTTGTATGCATAACTACTGTTTCCAACGGAAAGATGAACCATAGTATTCTGATACAACCGCGTGACGTATGACAGAAATACTTCAAACTGGTATACTCCTCTAGAAACGACCGTAAGGTGTTTTAAAACAGTTCCTACGATTTTCACATCCCCCCAACAATTTCCTTTACTCTCCGGATCGGTTTTTTATTGCTCATAATATCGAGGCAGTATTCGACGAACAACATCTCCTATAATCTCGAGCTGGTCGAATGGTTTCTCGCGCGGATAGGTTTCGCCCGCGTATCCGTAGCTTAAATTTTTCCAAACATATTTATACGTGACCCGGCATTACCGCGACGGCGGCAATAACGAAGTCGATTCTCTTCATAATTCTGGTTTCATAACACGTACAGGTGAAGTTAACGTGCCATGCAAGAGGCGTGCCTCCACCCCGCGTGTCGTGGCGTAGAGAAGACGGGCAGAACATTATAATTCGGAAGCCATTTGCAGGAAGCGCCTTGAACCAGAAGTCTCACGGTAAGATTTAATATAGATGACGCTCCTACTATTCCGCTTATATAACATGGAATATACAATTATGTTTCCCTTGAACGCAGTCGCCGGATTCGCCTGGTATTTTAATTTTCTTATTTCGCCCCGGCCGGTACGCTGGCAGGCACGCTCGAAACTGTCTGCGGGGAACGTAACTTTTTAGAAATTGTTAAGTAAGGCTTCGTAAACGTGCGAGGAATCGATAGAATTCCGCATTTTTATCGGTCACTTTTATAGTCTTTTTGCGAAATCTTTCCAACGTTCTTCGAAGAAAACGTATTATATAATTCAATTTATTCCATTTTACTATGCGATTCCAATGTTTTTAATTAAGTCGCTAAAATCAGGTAAAAAGTACGTTTATAAAAATTGCTCTTACAACGTCCTGGAATAAAATTTGTATTACTGCAAGATTACAGACGTTTTCGTTCTTACTGGGCGCCTTTTTTCAAAACAAAACTTCTGTTCTTAAGGCACTTTTAAGAAATAAAATATTTAAGTTGATCCTCAAAACGGTGGCTGTAGAAAATAATTTTAACAAAGATGTCAGGCAATGCAACCAGTAAAACATTGAGGTAATAAAATTACTAAGTTCTTAAAAAGAGGAAATTTGAAGGGATTCTATACAGTGTAAAATATGCGTATATAATAATATGACAACTAAAATGATTTTAAATCCTGGAATGACAATTCGAAAATTTGTAAACGAATTTAATTGCTACGAAACATGCGTTATCGAAACTCTTCATCGTTTTCGAGTGGTTTTAATGTTTGATATCTGAATTCCGCATATACGGAGCGAAAGAAAAAAACGAATTAAAATGAATGTCAACATGTGTTCAACTTTTTTGCTCGTTAACAACAAATCCTTTGACTTGCAACCCACGAGTGTAATTTATTCAGGTCACTGTAAATACATTAGAATGGCAAAACAGTTCGTACTGCCGGCGAAATCGATAACGTTCTTGAAGTGCATTTCAGATTGAAAAACAAAATTTTCAAAGCCACCATTCTCGAAAGAGTTTAAACGTTTGCATCTATTTGCAGTTATTCAACCAGGATGAAAAACATATTTTTGTCATTCTGTGAAATATTGCTGCGTTATGCACTTACGCTTGCCTTTCTTTTTTAAATTGACGTATTCCTTTTTACACGTGTCGATTCATCTGGGTATTTTGCATATAAAAGGATTACAGCATGGCAATTGAATACGCAATATTTTATGACATGTTTCGTATTTTATGTTAGGATATTATTTTATCCCAGCAGGCATAATTTTCATGCCATTCTCTCAGGTTTAGTTCTAATTTATTTAGGCATTCTCTCCATTTTTATTGGAGTTAATTTATTATTAGACGTTTCAAATCGCCGCAATTTAACATTATGTAATAAACAAAATCTGAAAAGCCAGATGTTAAAACTTAAACCAATGTTCTTTATTCCACCAACATTAGTTCTTCAATATATTATATGGAATTATTTTTAATAGAAAGGATGATTTTTATTGCTGTGCAATAATCTCCTCGATTCGTCGCGGCGTACGTATGAAGCGAAATTGTTAAACATGCTCGCCATCGCGTCGGTGAAAACGATCGGCAGATAGCATCCATAAAATCGCGGAATATATGATAGACAGAAACGGACGGTTGCTCTGGAGTCGCCCTCGCCTTTCCTCCATCGGTGTTCTGAACTAAACGACGTATTTAGTATTCGCTTCAGCATGGTGTTACTAATAGCAGGCAAATTTCAATGTACCGTAGACGATGCTGCCGGCAATGTGTATGCGAGTGCAACCCTTGCAACACGTGCTAAGTGCAGTGGCCGTAGTTACTAGCGAAAGGGATAGCTTATTGTTGTCCTACAATGGCGATAATTATTGGATATCGCGGGGAGAAGTTGCGATTCTGCCTACGAGGATTGCAGCTTGATCATCATAAGACTGCAAACTAGATTCGACGTATTAACGCGATGAAATTTGGCCGAGAATTCAATGATTTCTCTCTTAAAACGGAACACAGTGCTTGGCAATAATCGACATCATTCGTTGGTCCTATGCGATTAGAGGAATCAATAAATTCTGTAAAGCATTATTCATTTATTGCATTCAGCTATTTATTTAGATCCACGGATCGTAAAGATTCCGCAAGACTTGTTGACGCAATGCCAGCTAGAAAAACGGCAGGGAAGCACTCTTCTTTGTTAATTTTCCAGCGTCCGCGTGCGCGCAAATTCTACGACAAAGTCAGTTATTTGCACTCGTATTTTATTTCTAAACAATCCAGTTGACTTATACTTGAGTTTTGTTTTTAAAGCAAGCTCCCTCCACAAAATAAGTAATTGAATATCCCGAGAAGGCTGGTACACTTAATTTAAAATTCGTAAAGAAAATTACTTATGATTAAACGAAAAATAAAAATGTATATCCTGTAGGCTTTGCTCTGTTTATTCAAATTCAATCAAAGCACGTTTCACAGAGTTCAATTTTCGTTTGAAACTTCCTCTTTAGGAATATGTGTACAACATCCACTGTCAAAAGTCTTCGTGTGTTTTATGGATGGCTTTGATCTATGCCATTTTTCAAATCGTTACAGATATTGTCCAATTTATCAAACAGGCAGCATCGTTTACGGTTTTTCCTCAAAGATAAACAGGCAGGTTTTAAGCAGCTAATATAGTTCCGAATGATTCAGAAAAACACTTTATTTAGACGCTCTAGAAGTAGTTATTTAAAATTTAATTCCCTTTTATCAGAGAGAATTATTTACTTCTGAATGTCATCTTTTTAGTCGACCATTAAAGAGTATCGATCTTTTCCCAGTTTTGGTACATACGCTGCAATTGTGTACGTCACCAGCAAACCTCCAGGCAGTTTGACTTGAACGTAAACATCGCCTCTTCCTCTTGCTTCAATAACGGTGTCATCTTCGACTTCAACAGCATATGAATGTTTACTTTCCTGGCTGGTACTGAATATGACAACAGGAAGATATTGTTATTAGTCAAAATTTGTAAACCCCCCTGTTTTTTGTTTACATTTTTCGATATTTTAAAATATTGGGTTTAAACATTTTAATGCATGTTTGTCTATTGTAAAATTACAGCAAATTCTTCTTTTAAAAAACTGAGCAATACGTTCATGAAAAACGTTCTATCTATCGAACAACATTATTTTACATTTCAAAATTATTTTCTTCCTTTAAATATAATATATTTACCATATACTCTCTAGGTTAAGAGAGTCTGTATCTGTCTACCTCTTGAGAAAAATCGATGTTTTTGTTACAGTTACTCATATGATGGTGTCTTAAAAATATGCTCGTAAAAGATTTTATTAAAATTTGTAAAAATAATGAAGTCATAAGAGTTTTATCGCGCAGGTGTCAAGTATACTTCGTACACAGCAGATCGCTATAGTAAGACCATTGAAGTTTTTTTGGGAGTAAAACCATATTTTCAACTTTGAATTTTCGGATACAAAATGTCTTTTAAGAATGTCAGTTTCTTGACAGATTGAAGCTGCTATACTTTTGTAATTATCGGTGTTGGTTTTAAATCTGCGACGTAATGCAGCCTTGTCAGGAATTTAAACGAAACGCGATGATTTATGATTTACAAACTCATTAATTAGCGATTTTCGTTCCAACGGCGAGTAATACAGCAGAATCACGAAAGTTCGTTATCGAGGTGCAATTTCCTACAGAATTTGTGTAGAAGTCGTTCGAAAAAGTTAGCGGCTCCGTTAAATGTTTAGAACAGTTATTATGAATCTAATTCAGAACAATGGAATTCCATTTAAAAATTAACTGGTACGAAGTATATTCGATTGAAGAACTCAGCGGGCAGAAATTTCTGCACCTTGATATTTTATTCCAATGATATCTTAAACAGAAGTTCCGGCGCAAAGCATTGTACAATTGCTAATGAAATTCAGGAAACCCAGTTTACGTTGCAGAAAGTAAACAATCATGTTACTCGCTACCCTTACGTAATTAAATCACAAATTATGAGTTCTGCGAGCAGTCCTTACAATCTGGAACTTCCGGAAAATCAATGATTTTGCAAGTTCTAGGTTGAGACGCTCTAAGAATACCACGTGAGGATAGTTTCTCCGTTTGCTCGCAATATACTGGAAACGAGAACGAACAGGTGTAACAAACTGTATTAGAACATTCATTCTATCTCGCCAACTTTTTCTTGTCAGCTATTCGTCTAAATACATTCAAGCTTAACTATCGTAAGCTGAATATTTAAAATACAGCGGAATACATTTTCTTTCTTCAAAAAGTATCAAAATTTTGATGATTGTTCAAGAAAAAATAATTCAAGAATATTCGTTTTGTTCACATTTGCCTAAAAACACGATGCAATAATTTTTGTGGACAGTATATATGTTACCATCGAATTAAGCCATATCATTAATAATGATTATCGTCTCTAGTGTCTTTAGTGCCCGAGTACCAAGGCGAGGAGCTAAAGCTGACGAAGATCTCGAGGAACGAGATGGGAGTTTATCTCTGTATCGCCAGCAACAGCGTGCCACCGGCGGTCAGCAAACGTATTTTTATCAACGTTCATTGTGAGTAATAGTGATTGAACCGCCAGATCATTTACCGATTTTCTTCGCCGCGAACGAAGGAAATCGCTCGTCTTGTCCGACTACAATCCCTATCTGGGATTCTGCTTCACAGTTTCGCCGGTAATTCATGTACCTAATCAACTGGTCGGTGCTCCTCTTGGTACAGACGTGGTCTTGGAATGTTTTGTCGAGGCTTCGCCCAAGTCCATTAATTATTGGGTCAAGGATAGCGGTGAGATTTCTCTCGAACACTTAGCTCCTAGTTTGATACGATGTTCCTAGAACCTTGGCACGTATGCTTTTATTCGTTAAGCAACTATATCCCACCACATTTTCGTTGCTCCTTGTATGTCACTGTTTTAAAGTCACTCTTTAACGCTTGGTTTATTTTTAACACAGACACGGACACAATTTCATTTTAACGGTACTTTACGTGGAAAATGCTACGTAAGTTTCCTTTATATTTTTAACAACCGATTAAACAAAATTTATAAGTGTGTGAAAAGGGAATACATTATATAGAAATTGTACCCTGAGTAAGTAAAATTAACTGATATAAAATTCAGTTGTTTGGAATAACAAATCACGATACGCGAAAGTGAGAGAAGGAGTGAATAATATTTTCGTTCTTAGATTACGCAATTAAAAGACGTTACTTGCACGATTATACCAAATTGCTCGTTATTTTTCGCGCAGTCTTTTAACGTTATACCACGAAGAAAGACGGCCGCGCCTCTCCCTTAAGAGGTTTAATATTTCCGCGCAGAAGTTCGCAAAAAGTTGCAGACAAATGCGAAAGTGAATTACTCTTGGCCGTTCGCAAATATATTCCTGGAGCAGTTTGTAGCCTGTACGAGTAGACATGCTTTCGCTTTAGCGCAACTTCTCCGGAGTACTTCGTCCCAATGCACTCGTATGTAATTTTCACCTTGCACGGAAAATCCTGTGCGCCTTTTTCTCTACTGTATATGTATATATATATACTGTAAATATATATATATGTATATATGTATATATGCATATATGACAGTTTCAGAATGTAATAAGGAGACACGACGCGCGTTTAAGAAGTGAATTTTCGCATATTTTTATACGTCTCTGCGTATTCTCCAGCTCGTTTCCAATATTGTCGACGATCTCGTACATACGCGCGCATTAAATTATATTTAAACCACTCATGCATTGGAGACGATATGCACTCTGCAACATTTCTTGCAATAGAAATTGTTTAAGAATTCTTTTGAGAAGAATACAGCGAAGATATTATCGCAAAAATAAATTCAAATAAATTTCTATCGTTCTATTCTTATTAACATCATTGCACCGTTAAAATATATTACATTACCCATGCATCTGAAGAAAATACATTTTCGAAAACGCTTGATCAAATATTTGTTTCTCCGTTTATATGATTCGTTGCATTCATTTTTTCGTAAGCTGTGTTTAATAGCATGCGAATAAACATGATTCCATGCTTTCCATCGTCCCAATAAATCAATAGGAATTGTTGAAACTTCTTTAAGTGTACAGCGTCAAAGTAAATTGCAAAATAAACATAGAAGACAGCATAAATAGTAATGGTTATTACGCTCATTAGATAGGGAATGAAATGCCCTTTAAAATGAGCGTTCGAACGAGTCGATAGCTTTATTGGTTCCGGAGATATAGCGATTTTAATTTCAAGTCGATGCTGTGGCTAGTTTCGGAGATATAAGGGTCCGAAGCGTTTGTTTACTACGGCCTTGTCAAGGCCGTTGACCGCACGTGACCGTAGTAAATAGTAAACGTGACGTCACTCGATCACTCGGTCAATGGGTCAACGTGTGACAAGGAGGCTCGACGTGACACGTCAAACGGAGACAGCGATAGTCGAATTAAGAAAAATTACTTTTTACATAAATTACGATATCTTGACAACGGAAAGTCCGATCGACAAAAACCAAAAGCCATTTTAAAGAGGAGGCTTTGCCGCTTCTAACAGTGGCTCAATACTTAATAAAACACTAGTAGTTTCGAAACTGCACGCGCCTAAACTTTTAATATTTTTAATACGCGTTAATAGGCTTTCGTAACACGGAGAGCGGTATTTAAAAAATTACCTTTTACATAAATTACGATATCTCGAAAACGGAAAGTCCGATCGACAAAAACCAAAAGCCATTTTAAAGGGGAGGCTTTGCCACTTCTAATAGTGGCTCAATAATTGATACAACACTAGTAGTTTCGGAACTGCAAGCATCTAAACTTTTAGTATTTTTAATACGCGTTTACTTTTAAGATAACCCTCGTATTTACAATGTGTTGTACCTTTCTAAAGGAACCAAAGCTATTGTGCTAGTTTATAGAACATGACTGAAATCCCTCCGAAATATAATTCCGGCGCAAATGCTAATTTTCTATCGCGAGACAGAACGTTTATAAAATGAAATATGATTTGTCCTTAAATGTGTGAACGCCATTGTATACTCGTGGTAACGCGCAACTGCCTAGGGACATTACGGTACGGTGGAACCTTGGGTCAGGTTTCTGAACAACAGCGACGATTTTCATTATTCTTGAATCCCTCTAGCATGAAATTTGTACGCTTTATGCTGCCGGGTGGGCAAAAGTATTAGAATCTTCAGAAAATCATTCTATTGATATCGTTTTTTATTTGACCGATTGCCAATGAAGGATATCATTCATAGATTACTATAACAACACTGTTTCTTTGAATACATTCTGTCAACCAATAGAATTTGAAACTGAAATCTACACTCCCGTCCATCTCTCCTTTTAAAAGGAATAAATAAAATGAAAATTTTTGTTTTATAGCGATGATAATATCGAGTCAACAACACGACGTGCAAGCGATCATGAAATCGCAGTTCGAAGTTCGAATGGTCCTAACCATTCGCAATTTGCAGAAGCACAACGTTGGAACCTATAAATGCGTCGCCAAGAATTCACTTGGCGAAGTTGAGAGCAGTATTCGATTGTACGGTGAGTGTGTGAATTTATGACTTTACTCTAATCCAATATATATTATTTACACCATTACGACAATCTGTTTCGCTCAGCTTTTATACTTTCTATAAAGTTTCATTTATTTTTAACGAGCTACTCACTTTTTTGCATCTATTTTCTTCATTTTTCTTCGCGGAATATAAATCTCTAATTGGATCCAGCAAAAGCAAAATATGTGTGCCTTTTAACACGTTTCTGTCTAAATGACTAGATAGCATGTGTACATTTAGATTTATTCGGTTCTAAACACTTCATAACTGTAAACCTACTACAAAGATACTTCTAATTGAAATACTTTGGTAAGCACAGTATTACAAACGAAGCGATGCTTTGACTGTTCTACTTGAGCTGCACTATCACAGCAAATTTACGTCGAGAGGACTGTTTGGATGTTTAGTGATGTGGGGACCAGACAGCCATACATGATACTAGCAACAAGGCAATAAATAATACTGACTATAATGATACAAGAACTTAATACCAAGAATTGCAGTACAGAACGAAATTTAAAAAAATACACAAATTTTTATTTAAATAAACTTGTGTTCCTGATAGGGGAACTTTACGAATAACTAGTATCGATTGACGATCTATCTAGATAAAATAGTTTTGTCTATAATACAGATTTATTTCACGAAGGACGAATCGGCAATTAAACCCGTGCGATCGTAGCCGTTTCGAATAGAGAAAGAGTTAACAATTCACAACATTCGAGGATAGGTCGGGCGATAACGAGGCGAGCTAGCGGCGGTAAACGGAGAACTAAGCGAGTAGGGCTCAGTCGGTTGATAGCTGTTGCGCTTAGCGGCGGATATCCGTCTCCGGCCGGTGTTATTTCACGGCTGATACGTAGCAAGGCAGGAGGTTAACGAGTCTTTGCGGAAGCTCCACGTGGAAATTGTTGCCCCGGTACATCTTCGCGGCGCGGTGAGTCCCCTGGAAGAGTGATCGTCCTGCGATAGATACAAGAAACCCTCTAGCTCGCGGCAAACACGCCCGCGTTTACAAGCATCCTCACTTTGCCGTGGAAACCTCCAAGGATTTTCGCCGGCGTCAGAGCGTCTGGCTTCTTTCGGTCAATCCTCATCTTTTCGCATACGATCCCAGGGATCTTTCAATCAGGTCAGACCACTCAAGGGAAACACAGCCGGGACCCGCAGCACTCTGTTTGAAGGATCTCGTGCGGCTGTGTCCTTCGTAAATTGTCACGAGCGTCGACGACAACCCGAGCCCCCGCTCACGTCTTGGGAATCAATGTTGTTACGCGATACCGAGATTTACTTATTTCCCGTACAACCTCTCGCCGCGCGTATATTCTCGTTTATGCCGTAAAAGCAACCGCCGATGCTTCGTCGATGACGCGTCGTCAAAGAATAAAGGGAATTGACTTTGAAATTTATTGCGTCGGTTGCCAGAGGACGAGGAGGATGCACACCGAGTGCATCGTGCGGCTCAGACGAGTCGTAGATCGTGTTTCATCGAACACCGACAAGAATGGTAAAAGGGAATGACGTAAACATTTCATATATTTCTCTTTAATTTTTCAAACTTCGACGAATGGCTAAAAATGTTTGGAAGAATGTTTGCCCCTATTCGGACTTGTAGAAACGAATTTAATTTTTTAAAAATGTTATTCAAATACAATAATACTGCCTTTTAATTGAAAATAACTAGGGACCTTTTCCTTTTAATAACCACGTCAAAAAGAAAATTTGTTACGTTCGAAAATACTGATATCATTGAAAAGCAAGCGTTGCACCTGGGTCTCTCGTTCCTCAGCCCCGGGCCTTGCAAATCTTAATTCAGCCCTGTCCCTCAATCCCGTCGCCACTTTCATCGAATGCTGTCGTATTCTGATCTGTCGCCTAAACCAGTAAGAGGCGAAAGAATTTCCCTCAACACGGTAACTGGCAGGAGATCTCCCAAGTCGATTCTTTCATTTGCTAGACTTTAGGATCGTTCAGTCGACGGGTTAACGATTGAGGCTAAAGCGAGTAATTTCGCTGAATCGTCACCTGGCTGCTAAGTTCGAATACCGAGGATCGAGTGCACTCTGATCGATTCCATTAAATTGTTATAGGAATGGAATGCAAAGTGAGCAACGAGCAGAAAAAGAGGTATGCAGGAGTGGAATATAAAGAAAAAAGAAGTATCAGAGGAAAACAGATTTCATATGTATAACTCTTGATAACAATAAACCTAAGTTTCCAATGTTTAGAAAACATTTAGATCCAAAATGCAATCTGTGGATCTATTGGAAAGCAGTTTTTTTTTTTATCATCTGTTTCAGAAATTTCAGGTCCGACGAAAACGCAGACTGTGGCTAGGCCATCTTTTTACGACGAGGAGGATGATATCGTTTATGGTTCCGCGGAGATGGACAAAATGGAGAACAAACCACTGTCAGTGGACAACACGATCAATGGGCACATGGGTTATCCACCGGTGGCTACTCCAGCACCCACTGTAAGAATCGGCAAGAAGAGGCCAACGATCAGCATGAGTTCGAACGCGATTCATCATCCATCCTCTGATTCGCTCGTCGTCGTTCTGATGCTGATCGTCGTCCGTCATAGATGCCAGTGAACAAATGGACAAAAAGGTTTGATAAATATCTGTTAAATTGAGATTATAACGATAACGGGCGGAAACGGCTGATGGTGTGCTTTGTTTCTCGGTTAATTCGGCGCCGACGAAGTATCGTCTTCCCTGAGTGGCTTATTCTTAAATCGTAGTTTTAATAACGAAAACGAAAAATATGGCAGAGATACGTGGCGAGTTTGAATGAGACGATATATTACGAGCAGCGAGGGGTTGCGTACGCGAAGTGAAAAGTTCCGAATCAGACTTCTCGAACAGAAAGTATGTAAGAGTTTCAAAGTAAAATTCTTTTTCGTTTTTAAGTAATCGAGCACACGTTCGTGGGTAATGATGCAAATATCAAGTAACGAGAGATTCGTGAAAACCTGAATTCCCAGGTTCTAGACTAGAGAAAATATTAAATGAGGAATTAATTAAAAATTTTACGAGATATAAAAAATAATGAAAAATGTGCCAGTCTCGTAAGCATTTAAACGATAATAAGAAAATAACTCTTTTTGAATAATTCGACAAACTTATGCACAAACGAGAGGTTCTTTGTTCGATATTGTTTAATCGAGGAGAAATCATGGACGCTGCTTGACTCGACTAAGCAGTTAAGTCGATACGCGCTTGATGTAACTCGTGCAACTTCCACTAACTGAGAATATTTGCTTTGAGATAATTTTGTAATCTGTTCTCGTCGGTTCGAAGACGATGAAAGTTCATTCTGCGTATGTACTCGATGTAATCGACCTCTCGTTGCCCGACGCCCAATAAAAATGATACTGCGCGAATCTGGGGAGAAAGTAAATGGCGAAAAGGAGTCAATCTTTGTGGCTTCAACAGACTCTAGGTTCAGAGAGAAGTTATTGAAAAGCAGCGCTGATAGATTGCGCAGAAAAACGAGGGCGTTAGAACGAGAAGAAATAAGAGAAGGAACAGTAGGACGGAGAGAAAAAAAAAAAATTAAAGTCCTGGCAGTATATACATACATATATGCGCGAATCGAGCAGCCAGGCGCGTACTTCTCAGTTTCAGCGGCAATAAATTCGCGTGATGTACATATACGCTTGTACACGTACGTATGTATCATACACACACAAAACACATACATACATACACAAAGGCTTGCACGTGTACATGTGTGTGCATATTGACACGTCAGGGTAACTAAGATATCTGTATAAGTAGAGCTTGTCGTAAGCGGCAAAGCGTAATAGGGTATATCGCGATTTTTAATGACTGTCGGCAGCTTTTTATGTGTGGGGCAAAAGACCTGGGCCTAAGCCAGGTGTTTTAGCGGATTCCTTCGATCGGACCAAGCGATTTTAACGATCGGATCGGGCCTTGATCGGAAACGTGCGATCCAGGTGTTACTCGTGTTCTTACCAAAGTTTTTAATTTACTTCCATTTTATTCCACTACATGATTTCCATCATTGCTTATCGATCCCTCGCCTAACGATACAATCTTTGACAAATAAAAATGTTTGAACAAATAATATAGGAACATGTATTGCATTGAACAATCAATCATGCATCATTTCTATCGCAAACATTTCCAAACATTGGTGATCAATACCAACGTTACCTTCGTTAAGCAGCATCGATAAATTCATTAACTCTAACAAGTATAATAATGAGTATATGTCTATTTACCTAAAATAAGTATATTAACATTATAAACGTACGAGGTTCACAAAAATAATCATGTAACAATTATTTCATATGCAACGAATTACACAGGGATACCAAGCTCAAGAGAATCTTTTCAAGTTCTAGTGAATATGTAATGGAACATTTATTAATCGATCGATTTAAGAAACTTCGATCCCCGCGATCGCACGATCCACCGATCAAGGCAAACGCATTCGTTTGTTCGTTCTGTAGGGCAGGGGGCATCGCAAGCGTGTTCGATAGACGAGCGTGTTTTGTTTTCTAGACGATTTTAGTTGAATAGGAACAAGTGGTACGGGGAATGAGCGCGAAAGAAAGAAGTACTAATCATATTTTTGTATTTCTAAATGTCGATAGCGTACTTGTGTTTTCTTGTTATTCGTTTATTTGTCAAACGAGGTAAGTCCGGTTTAATCTCTATTCGACAGCGAAAGGAAGAGAGGAGGAGGCAAAAAGATAAAAGGCACGAGGAACTTGTACAGTTACCCGAGAATCCTGCGATTGGGGATTAAACCGCGACAAGTTTAACGTTCGATTACGACGTCATCAGACGCTTACGTTGGCGTCCAAACGTCGATGTGTATTTAGCGCTAAATAAATGAATGTCCTTCGGGTTCTCGGTTCCTCGAGCCGAAGATAACTAAACATGACTGGTGCTATCGATATAGCGAAACCTCGATTTAAAGGAATCTGATTTAACGATTTTATATAAACACATTCCTCTATCATACGTCAATCAGTTCTTCCACGTGTTATTTTAAAATTGTATCGTCTCTTGGCGACTGTGCCACTTCGACTTATTCTAGAGATCTACTCCTCAGATTTCGTATAATTTTCCCCTCCTTGTTTCTTCAATTTTATATCGAATACTACGACTCTAATTAATCCGTTAAATCGAGGTTTTACTGCAGATTCTTTTCTCATAAAGAGCCTGTGAAAATAATTACTATACGATTTCTAGATGATTTACTTTGTAGAACAGACTTCTCTTCTTAAATATTGATTAAGCAGGAGGAACAGAGGCAACCTAAGGGAATTCTGGAGCAGCGACTTCAAATCGTCCATGACTTGTGGTAAATAAAAACATTTTTACAACTTTGGAAAAATGTTAGATTTTATTTATTGAATTGATATACGATTTCATCTTTTATTTATTAAACCGTCGAACAATGTATTTTCGTAATTGTGCTTTTAAGAATTTAATGTCTGATTTCGATGAAACGTTTCTTTTAACTTCTTGTTATAAGCAACTGAAAACGAAAGTAGCAAATTTCAGTATTTATTCGTGAATTTAACCCTTAACTCAAACACGTTCAAACTAACTTTCAGATGTTAGACACCCTCTCCTACTCTTTCCGGTTTTCGTGGTATCATAATAACAGCTGATGCCGTACTATACGATGCATACCTAACGCGAATGGCTTCCCCGAAAATTAGTGTAACGTCTTTTGTTTTATGAGCGATATAACTAGCAAGAACCGTAGCGACGCATGAATTATTATTTATGTTGCACTGAAAAGTGAGAAGAGAAAGAAGTTTAAGGAGCAAACTTTATCTTCGACGCGTTGTTAACTAAAGTTTTTGACTTCGACACAGGGTATTTCATAACATGTCTTATTTATAACCGTTTACATTTGTAGGAAGGGCTCAAACTGGCCACTGTTCTATCTAAATACAAGTACACGTCGTGTCATAGAATTTCTCAATATTTCGAACATTTCAGGCGTTTGTCAGATTTGTTCAAATCAAATCAATACTAGCAATGGGCGTTAAATCTCAGGGTTCTTTACACTGCAAATGCATACTATACACCAATGAAAGTTACACACCATTGAAACAAAACACAAAAGTGTAAATTATTTTGTAATAATAGTATTATTACTATTATTATCAAACAATTGTTTTCAAGTGATCCCAGATATAAAAAATTCAATGAATCTGGGGAACAAGTTGGTTGATCATGTTTTTACTATAAAAAAAAATAGATTTCAACAAAAGCATCCCGTGGATAATGATGGTTACTTCTTACAGTTTTTTTTATTTTATTTTCTATTGTATATTCGCGATACATGAATATTTTAAAAAACGTATGAAATGAATCTTAAGAAGAATTCTCTACAAGGGCGTGTTCTGTTCGACTAATAAAGTAGAGACTCGACTGCAATCTGCCTGGAAACGAACACATTTTTAACCTACGAACGAGTTTACCGGTAAACCTAGTAACATGTTTGCGAAGTGTCATTGCAGTCCTTTGTAATTCATCCTAGGGGTCCATTATTAGTCTGGCTGTCAAGGCAGGCTGCGTCGAATAAAGAGGGAGAAAGTATTCGGTCATCGTTAGAAAGTATATGAGCGAATCCGGCTTTAAGGACTACGCGAAGAAGATCTTAGTTCCTTCATAAATAAACACAACTGCCCGAACATCTGGCACGGACGTAATTCATCGCGAATTAATTTAAGGGCCAAGCCCCTCTTTCTTCCCCATTTTCTAGCCGCTATCCCCCTTGTCTTACCTTCTTACCCGGCACTGGTACTTTCATTAAAGGTCTGCCGGCGCCATTTGGTAGCTCGCTTTATGCTGATTTTATTTCTTTTCTTTCGAGAACTTGAGATCCACGGTAATTGTGCGGTATTATTACCCCCGCGGTGGCGTAATGGCCGTGTGAAATATGGCCCATCGAACCTGGCCGGGCTGCACCTCGTGAAGAGGATTTCACGGTTCGCTAAGAGTCGTCGTCGTCAGCCACCGGCCGCGAGCTTCATCGTTGAAATCGTTTCTGTAGGCGGTAGTTTTCGAAACGAGTCGCGTTTCACTTTGACGCGTCCGAGAAACGACAGAAAATGACCAATTGCAGCACGGTGGGTTAAAAAGAATTACCAGAAAGTGTCGATAATGTTTTCAAAATATATCCATGTTTCTTCAAAATTAACGCAACGATGCCAGATGACTATTGCAATTAAGAAACGTCGGATAAATTATAGTATTAAGTTGCAAAAGTCTTCTACTCTAATTAAACGTCATAATTGAAGACTACATCACGGAGTAAAACCTTAATCACGATGTCCTTGCACAAGGCTAATTATTTACTTAAACAACTTCTATAACAACTTACTTTGAGATTGAGTTGCAAAGTACTTTATAATGTAATCTGTACCTCTGTCATTTTCTGTGTAATTTTCTCTTCTCGCTCGACTTTGTAACGAATGATTTTCAAAGCTACGAAGCGAATGTGCTATCGGATATATTCTGCCGCAAGGAATTAATACTCGATCCTTTCCCGGGCAATAATTTCGCACGAATTTTCTTTCCAACGAGCACGTTGATAT